CAAATATGGAGGAATGCAACAGGGGGCAATGAACCTACAGAAACTGGAGGAACCCCCCCTCCTTGCGCAGACAAAAGTGCCTTCTGCTTGCATAAGACATCCTCTGGATACAACCAATGAATCTTGTAATAGTTGTTACCGAGTTCCTCATAACGACACTCAAAAAGCAAAAACTAACCAGCCAAGAAAGAATCTGTGCCATGATTTCCAAATCTTCCAAAACAACAAGTGATAATCTCAAGCGTCCTGTTGCACTCCAGAATAACACCAACTGGCCTTCCTTTCTCCTGTAACAAGAGAATGTTTATTTTTGTGAAGCAAATACTTGTCGGTGATAAACCTGGCTTAGGTAGCCATTACGAGGCTCAAAGGGAATGATGGGAAGCGTTATTGCTCGTTGTTGACAATCCTTCCGTAAGCTCTCTGGAAAGGAAGACATTATAGAGTGAGGTTCATCTCTGCCTCGTAGGCTTAGAAGGTGTCGTCTATGTAGTACCGAACAGTCAACTGGGCCAGCCATTAGTAGTAGCGATTCAGGCTTCTGGTCCCTGGGATGTCCGGTTGCCCGTTCATCCATATCTCCCGGATGATGCGCTCCCTTTCTTCCAGCCGCTGGGCCCTCTCCAGCTCCTCGGCAGAGGTGAAGACGTTCATGTTCAAAGTCCTCTCGAACCTGCGATGACGGCGGGCCGACAGGTCCGAGGTGGTGTCTGAGTCATCATCGCTCTCGCTGCTGTCGCTCTCGGTCTCCCGTGGCGGCTTCTTTGACCGTGAGCGTTTGCAGTCCGTCCGACAGGAAACTCGGAGCACCAAGGCCAGCAGGGTCAGGAGAAGGCCGATGCACACGCCGGAGACAAAATACAGAGCAGCACGCTCTGGGTTTTCTGTAAGGCGCAAGAAAAAAAAGACAACGTTTATTGATTCAAACATTTATCTCGTCTTTCTCACTATAAATGATACAAATAATGGCCAGCTGTATCTACTAGCTGCTGGATCACAGGA